GGAGGCAACCAATTGATGTGTCTCTCTCACACCAATGTTTCTCTCTCTCCCTCCTTTCCCCCTTTCTTTCCACTCTCTAAAAAAAAAAAAAAAAAAAAACAATGGGAAAAATATCCTCAGGTGATGATTTAAAAAAAAAGCACAAAGCCTCACCTTCCAAAAATAAAACATTAGTTTAATACTGTCAATATTATTTACACACAGGTGAACTTTTCAATCAACCAGTTCTTTAAATTATGATAACGGTAATTGACTATTTTTAATCTAAAAACTCTTTAATAAAAAGAAAACATTAAAAACAAAAATAAGATAAGGGTAATTAAGCTAACAAAATCTTTGTGGGTCTTAAGAAAAAGAAAAGAAAAACCATTTTACTCCTATTACTAAATACCTAGGTTCTATAGTTCAACAAACCAAATCACAATACTCCCAACTGGCCAACAGAAAAATGCAGGGGGGAAAAATGCATCTATAATATAACAAGCAACTAGAATAATAATTGGAAAAAATAAATTCTAATAGAATTGAAAATTATGTTACAAAACTTTTAAAAAAGAGACTGGTTTAAAAATTGATGTAATAATACCACTTAAGAAAATATACAACACAACTCTGATTCAGCTAAAATTCTGAAGAGAAGATACAAACCAGCAATTTTTCCAGCAAACTATGAAAATTCTGTAATATAGTCTTCATTATTTTGGCCCTCCCAATGCTAAAGTCTCCTATCCTAAGAATATAAAGGCATTTTAAGGGAAAAAATCCCACACTATTACAATCTGAATACTTTTTGTTAAAGTCTTTTGTTTCTTACATTGTCCCACCGATATTATAAATGCCTTCTACAGCTGCACTGCTTATTTTATTGGGGGGGGGGATTCCATGCACAGAAGCAACCTCTCTCTGCTGCAACACTGAGCAGTCACCATGTAACAGAAGCCCTGCGCTTGGAGGAAAGCAGTTCGTAGGCAAGAGGTAGAACCTCTCTGACTCTTAGTTTCCTCATCAGCAAAATGATGGTAATGTTAACAGAACTCAGAGTGTGAGGATTAAAAGCGTAACACCCATGAGGCTGCAAGTTAGAGTGTGGGGTACAGCGGCTGAGTGGTTACTGGCAATCTTTTCATGGGCGGGGTTAGGGGCCACTCCCCCGCCTCCCCACAATTCTAGGACAGGAGTTGGGCCACGCTTGCTAATGGGCAGGGTCACTGAGTCCTAAAGGGAGGCGCACATCGCTTTGTGTGTCCTCCTTCTTTGCCAGCCCCTGGGGTGGAAGCCGAAACTCACCAGGGCCTGCTCCGGGATCAGCTGTCCTCTTACCACACCACTAAGTGGCGGGAAGATGTGGTCCTGAGACTAAGGGAGAAATTTTCCGCGGGCCTGCCTAAGCCACATCCAGCTTGCCTAAGCAGTTTGCAGCATATCTTTCAAGCATATTCTGCCCTAGGAAACTTCTGGGGACAGGCGACTTTGCTTATAGCACGGCTTCCTACTGAATCCTGGATCCCTTGCTCTGCCATCAACATCTCACCGACACGCCTCATCATGACACCCCACAGTAAGGATGGCTGTGATGCTGGTGGGCCTTCAAGGGACAAAGGAACCTTCCAAACTGAGAAAACATGTAACCTAATCGTGAGTTCCGCCATCTCCCTCGATCTGCTAATGGTCAATGTTCCTGAACTAAAACACCGCATTCGGTCACCACTAGAGAGCATGACGTTATCTACAGGCTGCAGTCCATGGGCCAGCAAACGCGTCCCAGAAACCACACACACTGACGCAGTGCGGTTGGCGGCAAGTGTGGTCCTCGGCGGGGAACCGGCCGCAACAGTCATCACCAAGTCAGTGCGAGCAGGGGCTGAGATCTATAGTCCAAGGACCAGAAAGAAGCCTGAGGGGACAGCAAAAGGAGAATTTAGAAACAAATAAGAGCACAGATTTCAGAATCTGAAAGGGGTCATTCTGAAATAAATTAAAGCATTGCCTTATATAGTCGATTGTAACCAAAAGGTTTCACAACCGGTTCATTTATATGGGCTCAGAAGGATTCAGATAGAGTTAAAGAGTAGACCCCTGGCATGTAATTAAGGGAATCTAGGGGAGCACCGGACGTCTCTAACCCTTGCAGCCTGGAC